CCTCAGGATCCTGAACTCAATCATCTTGTGGTCGCTGCTGCCCAAGTTGCCATCCACTACTACATTCCTCATCAATTCTTTCCTGTCTGTGAGCAGCAGGTCAAGAAGAGCACAGCCCTCCTTGGCCGCTCTAGCACTTGCACCAGGAAGTTGTCCACAACACTCTCCAAAAGCTTCCTGGAGTGCCTGTGCACTGCTGTATTGCCCTCCCAGCAGATGTCAGGGTGATAGAAGTCCTCCATGAGAACGAGGGCTTGTGATCAGGAAACTTCTGCTAGCTGTTTGAAGAAAGCCTCATCCACCACTTCCTCCTGGTCTGATGGTCTATAGCAGACCTCCACCATGCCATCACCCTTGTCGCTCTCCCCTCTGACCCTAACCCAGAGGCTTTCAACAGACCTATCTCCAGTTTCATACTGGATCTGTGAAGAATCATGGCTCTTTCACATACAGCGCAACTCCTCCTCCTCTTCTCCCCTGCCTGTCCTTCCTGAACAGTTTGTACCCATCCACAACTATCTTACATATAAATTGACAAATGGGCCACAGAAAAAAAAATCATTACATCTGTCAGTCAAAGGATATGAAAGACAAAGACTGAATCTGCCTTCGTGAAACACAGGTCTGTGAAATACCAAATGTATCTGAGAAAAATAAACCACCACTACCATAGAATTGATCCTTGTCATGGAAGTCCAGAACATGAGAGCAGTAACAGATCATTTTTGTAATTTTCCAGATTATATAGACTTTGCTGCAAATGGCTTGGAAAATAAACATCCTCTAATTTCAGGAAAGGAACATTTTATATTTCTGAGTCTTTGTACCAGGAATTGGTCATTAAATGTTCACAGAATATCTAGATTTTCCAGGGTCAGAAGGGGTCATTGTGATAATTTAGTCTGAACTCCTGTATAATACAAGCCAGAAAATTCCATCCAGTAAGTCCTGTATAGCTTGGGCTGAGTTCCACCAGATCTTCTTAAACTCTTCAGGTTGATGATTTTTTATGCAAAGTAATGACCCCCTTTAATTTATGATAAAAGTGAAAGTAAAAAGTATGTCAGTGAGAACAGAGAATTTATACAATTTATCTGGGCAAGGTTGTTTCAAGTAAATTAGTTCAAGGGCAAGTGTGTGGAAAGTACAGGAGTGAGATTTTCTTTTCATTAAACTGCAGCATGTTTTTTTTTTCCCAAGACCTCGTGTCCTACCTGACTTTCTTCAAGAGTTGTGACCACTGGTTGAGAAACCCTAAGCTACAGCAGGGGTGTCAAACTCAACTTGTGCCACAGGCTGAATGTGGATCCATGGGACAAGTGGTGGATGTGGTAGGGCTGGAGGCAGCAGCAACAGGAGGAAAAGGGGGAAAGGGGCCAAGAGGCTTCCTTGGCTGCCCAGAGAAATCCAGAGCAGCCTAAGGGCAAAAAGCGGGGCATATAAGCAGTGGAAACAGGGAGAGGTTACTAAAGAGGAGTATGCCTCCTCAGCTCGCAGTTGTAGGGAGGCAGTTAGAAAGGCCACAGCTACCATGGAGCTGAGGATGGCATCCCAAGTTAAGGATAACAAAAAGTAGTTTTTCATATATATAGGGAGTAAAAGGAAGGCCCAAGGTAGAACAGGACCACTACTGGATGGACAAAAGCAATTGGTGATGGACAGGGGGGACAAGGCTGAACTCCTTGATGAGTTCTTTGCCTCAGTGTTCCTAAACGAGGGGCAAAACAAGTCTCACATTGTAGAGAGGCAACAGCTGGGCGCCAGACTATCAAGCGTTGACCCTGAGATGTTGCAGAGTCACTTGAAAGGACTGAACGTGTTTAAGTCAGCAGGCCAGGATGAGCTCCATCCGAGGGTACTGAAGGCACTGGCTGATGTCATTGCATAGCCACTGGCAAGAATATTTGAGCACTCATGGCACATGTGATAGGTCCCGGAGGACTGGAAAAGGGCCAATGTGGTCCCTATTTTCAAGAAGGGGAGGAAGGAGGATCCAGGCAACTATAGGCCAGTCAGTCTCACCTCCATCCTTGGCAAAGTCTTTGAAAAGATTATTAAGGCTCATAT